GTGTGTGTGTGTGTGTGTGTGTGTGTGTGTGTGTGTGTGTGTGTGTGTGCGTGCGTGTGTGTTTCCCAGGACCTGCTCGAGACAGACTGGGCTTCCTGCTCCGTGTCTGGACCAGCCAATGTGGCAGCTGCTGTGTCATCCTGTGCTCTGCGTGCCTCCTCTGTTACTCACAGAGAGCCGGAGAAAATTTGCCTCCAGCAAACTGGAGAGAGATCAGCTGCCCCGTGCAATGGCACAGCATCAGAGAGCAGCACGCACACTACTGCTACGGGACAAACTGTTGCTTTGGGGTTGAGACGGCTCTCATCTTCCTCTCATTCCCGCTCTCCTCTCCCTACTCCTTCTCCCACGTTGAATAACTCTGAGCCAAATCGGGCAACACAACAGAGTCACGCTCACGCTAAGGGGCTGCCGAAGCCCTGTGTGGCTCAGGATGACTTTGATGACTGGGATGTTGACCTAGCAGACCTGGAGGAATGTGATGGCCAAATGGGACGGATGCCTGAACCTCCTGCTCCACGTGCACCCACAGTAGAGCCTCCAGCCAAAATGCTGCGACCCTCGACCTGTGGACAGACTCAGACACTACCTGTTCGGACAGTGAGGGAGCTTAGCGCTGCATCCAAGACTTCTAGCTCCACTGGTCACAATTTGGCTACTTTTCCACCTGTCCAACATCCAAATCCATGTCCTGCTTTCCCATTAGCCCCTCCACAGAAGTCTGACGTTTTCCGTGGCTTCACTGCAACTTCTCCAGCCCTGAGCTCTTTTTCCAGGACGGTTAACAAACCTCAGCAGCCACAGAAAACATGTACAACTCCAAGACCCTCCTCTCAGCCCCGCAACCTCTTTGATACAGTCTCCCCGGCACCTCCTTCCTCCCCCTCTCCCTCTGTGAACTCTCATCCTCTTCACACGCCAGTACTCACCAATCGCCTGGTCCAGCTAGTCTCTGCCTCCAATAAGCTTCCCAAGAAGAGGCCTCGCTCAGAGCCACGCCAGCCCAGGACCCGGCGCTTCCCTGGTCCAGCTGGGCTTCTGCCACAGCAGGTTGGTCTCATGTGATGCTGATGCACTCTCTCCTAATCTGGCTTTCTGCAAATGAAAGCACAAGCACGGTCAAGCCAAGGCAAAGACGCCTGAGTAGAACTCAGAAAGAAAATGAATTAGTTATGTGTTCTGTTTTGGGTTTTTTTTTTGTTTTTATTTCCCACCTTGCTGGCATATAGTGATTTAAATTTCCTCTCTCAGCCTCAGGGTCAGAACCTGGATGAGATTGTGGTTTCTGTTCCTCAGACTCCTGCCCATGGGGCTGTGGCTCGACTACCAAGTCAGGTAAATAAAGCAGGTTTTTTTCCCCATCTTTTCTATCACTGTTGCACCTTCAAAAGCAGACGAGATTACAGAAAAGGCTTGAAAATGCCAGGTGTCCACACGGTGTGAGGCCAGTAAATCATGAACAGATTTTGTATTGGCCACATGGAGGCAGCGGAAATGAATGACTAAAACAGCACTGACACCACCTTATGAGCTGACATGGAAAAGAGCTGCCTATTTACACATCCAGCTTGTTAATAGTCCCCTGATGTCAAGTGCAGTTTTCTCTCACTTTTGCTCTCCTGAAGGAAACATCTGGCACATCAGCTGCTTAATGCTCCACTCTGTTCAACAGCTAGTCTACGTAGGACGAGTAGCTGCCTGCCAATTTGTGCATTGTTTGTACAGGATGCAGTACTCTACATAACACTATTTACAGTTATTTGTGTGAAATATTAATTAGAGCCACTTGGAAGAACCAGCAAAGGTCAAGAATTCCATTCGCTGTATGTTTGTGGGTGTAAAAACTTTATGTTAAAGGCTTCCAGCTCACAGACTGAGGAAGAAGAGTTCAGTGGCGGTGCCTGGGCAGCGATGAAGATGGAGATGGGATTGGATGAGAGGCATCCATCATGTTTCCTGCACTCCTACAGTGTGGTCATGGTGCTTCGCAAGGTGAGCTGACAACGTCGTTACACAAATGGAGAAGAAGTCCCACTCGTACTGTTTATTCAAGCGCTGTCTAATATTTAGGTCAAGTCTCTTTACAAGTTACGTGTCTTCACACCACAACGGCCCGTTTGCCGCCATTGGAGGTCTATTGGCATAATCAGGACAAATGACGGCGCTGTCCTGGAGGTGTTGTGTAATTATAAACGGTACGATCGCTCATCAGTCACACTAATGGGGACTCTGCTGTCGCTCTCCTGTAGCTGTGTGAAGGGCCGCCAGTGTGAAGTAGCTGTGAGTGGCAGTCATTTTGAAACCTTACACGGTGGTTTCTGCTGTGTTTGCTTGTCACTGGCTCCATTTAACAGGAGCAGGGTCGGTGGCAGGACGCTGGATAAGCTCGCTCAGGTTAAGCCGTTGACGTGAATGTCGGCTTCCCCAAATCCTTATTTTTCGTGAATAAACAAATGACCACACTGCCCCAATGTGTTCTAACAAATGCAGTGTAAAGAAAGGTTGATCTCAAGAGGAAATCCTGCTCACTGCTGTGTATTTACTTCCATCAGTATATCTTCGTAACACCAGATTTGTGTCGAGGGTTAATTTAAAAACTGAGGTTAATCAGTAGGTTGGTACACTGGAGAAGATTTGATATCAATTGTAAAGTTTCTTTCAAAGCATCAGGTTATCATAGATTATCGGAATGACTGAACACTTACAGTTTATCTAAAGTAAATAAGGCTGGGTTTATAATCCCGTGCAAACACTTGCAGACATCACAGATTATTAGTTGTTCCTATTCCACTTGAGGGACGCTTGCACAGCTGGCGACCTTGCAGTTTTGGCACATTGGAGGGCACATGGATGTCCACATGAAGAGATTCAAACAGACCCTCGCATTCTAGTTGATGTCAAAAGTATTACACCCACATGAGGCACTTTTAAGCAACTCCAAACCCTGTACCTTCAGCACTTGCGTAAAAGACAACATGTGGCTTTGCACAGAAGTCAAACTCCTCCTGGACAATATGATGCCACATTTTCACCCAGTCACAGTGCACTTTGCACTCTCTTTACGGCAGTGCTGTGAATTAAAGCGAATGTGGTTTAAATTCAACACCACGCTGCATCAGCAACACTGAAGTTTTTAAACTGGCCGTCACTGAGAGAAGGAAGGCGCAAATATACTCGGGCTTTCTCTTGCTTTGTGCTCACAGCCACCAAAACATCAGAGGCCACAGTCAAACAAGGTAAAAAGCAATAATTCTGTCCATTTGCGAGGCGTCCTGGCTGGCCGTTTACGGTGCCAAGTCCCCAGCCGCCTCCCAGAAACCAACCTTCATGTTTATGTCCCTGTAAATTTTAAATTGCGCATCCTACAGCTGCAGGTAGTCCACTGCCAAAATAAAATTTCCTCCATGCTGTTATATTGCAGAAGCATTTTGTTGGATAAACAAGCGTAATTCTGCCCCAGAACCTCAAAAGATGATTTTTTTTATTCATTTATGTTTTTGTTTTTTTTTATCTTTGTGGGAGACGAGCGTGTTCTTGATTTGTGTGCACAGCCAGCAGTTGTCTGGGCTTGCACTTGCCCACTGTACTACCAGCCAATCAGCCCAGCTAGACCTCCGGTCCTCCAACTCTTCCCATCGAAAATGTAATAAATAGTGCAGGTGGTAGGCTCTTATGTGAAAAGCCCATTATCCCTGATGTGCTGATAGATTTAGGGCTTAAATTTGAAGATTTAGAAAAAAAATCTGAAGTTGCACACAAGAGTTATTAAAATTCAGTATCCAATTGGAGCACAGAACATGAGTTTACACAATTAAAAACAAACAAACAGTTGATTCGGTTATTTTCTTATAATACTAACATTAAATATATATGTGAGTAAAATGTGTGCCATGAAATCAGACTGTCATCAGACAATCCTCAGCTGATTTATTTAGCTTACGTGTTTTCCTTAACACTAAATCGAGTTCTGTTTTCTGCTGTATTCAACATAGAAATGCTTCAGACCCATTTTACAAGAAAGAATTTGATATTTTTGCTTGAACCATTACTAAAAAGATGAATGATCAACTTTGTTATATTTAATCTGTTAATCCATGAATTATTTAGAAATATTGTTAGCAAAAGTTATCGTGTGTGTGTGTGTGTGTGTGTGTGTGTGTGTGTCTGTGTGTATTTTCCCTCTTCTTGTTAGGCTGCACTGAAACAGCTGGTCAGAAATAAAGTTCCAAACATGGCTGTGCTTCTGAAGAGCATCGTCCACACGCATGCTGATGCCAAGGCAGTGTTTAAGGACCCGACAGGTAACAGACAAACCCAGACACGCTCGGTCTTAAAATAAATATGATGATTCATTGTGAGTCGATTACAATGCTCGACTCTAGTAGAGCCTCAAAGAAAACTTCGGTAGGGAAAAGAAAGAGGAAAGCGTGTTAACTAGTGCTGAACCATGGGAGCAGAGGAGCTGCGAGCTTTTTCCTGCACATTTGACATTTGCTCACTGGGAGCTCGCCTGATTGAGCTCCACGAGGTACGAGAGCAGAGTTCAGCTATTGTAACACGCTTGATTGCGTGCACACATACACACACACCCCGTCTTGCCCAAACAGCAGGACGCCTCTTTCTTCCCACCGCTCGTTTCCTCTCCCGCTCTTTCTTAAACCTTTCCCCCCACTTTTGTCTGCTGCACCTCTAAGCTGAGTCGGTTGCCATGGCCCCCAGAGAGCAGCCACATGAGGTGAGCTGATTATCATCACTCAGGAGTGGATGTTGCTCTCAACACCGGACTTAAGTGCTTATTAGTGATTCAATTGCCACAGATTGGCATCAGTAGTGGGCGGGTATTAAGTGCTTCTGACACCACAAGAAACTGTTTGCTTAGTCATGTGACCCTGACCTGCTGGAAGGTTCTTCGCTTTTTACCCAGCAGACAGTGTTATCTGAGAAGCTGCTAACAGCGCACGCTTAACATCCACTAGTGCTGGGGGGGAAAAAAACAAGCCGAGGAGAAATTAATCAACATATTAGTATCTTAATCATTTATCATTAACAAAAAATATTGGGCTTTCATCATAATGTGTGTGTATATATAAGTATGAAAAATGGGGATTCAAACACTTGCTTCTGGTGAGTGATGAACTCTTTCATGTCGCTGCCGATCCCTCGAGCCTCCATTTGTGGACTTTTTGCAGTTTAAAATGGGTAAAATATTCCTAATGTGTACATAAACACGACTCGGTGCGTATGACAGCAGTCTGGTGGTGGAAAAAAACGGAAACACGGATCTTTAGATCACGTTCTTGACAGCAGAGTCTACTGTGGATTTAGGTGTCATTCTGAGCTTCAGGAAAGTTTTTCACTATTTTCTGATATTTTTATATTTGTATGAAAACAGAAGAACCATATCTGGGAGATGCTGATGAGGATCTTTAGATGCAGCTTAGCTGTCTAATAAACATGCAGTTTTATTCTTATGAGTTTGAAGAAGGAAGCTGTGGTGTTAAAAGGTTTTTATTCCAGGCTTGTTCTGAAGCTCTCAATACAATCTCTGTTTTATTCAGAGTGACACACTGTTCATATCCTTTTTGCTTTCCTGTTGTGTTTTTAATTTTGTTTTTTTGCCCAAACCGTTACACTAAATATGTCAGAAAGTTTATGGAAATGTGTGCAAAATGCTGCTGTCTCTGGTTTCTTTTGGAAATTTCCGTCAAACGTGAATATTTTAATCCTCTTGGGTTTGAATATTTACTCGGAATAATCACATCACGAAGTGTGGAAAAAGCTTTCCTACATTGTTAGAAACGTGGATTGGCTTGCAAAACTTTGGGTTACTGTGAATAGCTAGGCATGTAAAATGTGACCTGATTCTTCCATTTATTTATTTACATTTATTTATTTTTTATTTTTTTAAATTTCACACTCAGTTTCCTGTTTTAGTTTCAAAATGGCCAAAAAAAGGCCCAAAGCAAATTATGGGGCATCCTAGATGGTCGACTCTTAATAATGTCCTTTGGTATGCATCACGGCATGGAGAGACTTTTGGTAGAGACCTTTCTCTCTGTTGCTACTGCAGAAGGCATCTGTGCTTATGATTATTGTCTGTTTTTGTCCTGAGTTTTGTTTGTTTTTTACAGAGATTATGATATTTTTTGTCTTCAGATTTTGCTGGTAATGAGTATAATCCAGTCTTGCTTCTGCTAAGGAAACTTTTCCAAGTGCTACTCGCTGCTGCGCCCACCCTCTCTACGCCTCGCTTCAACTTCATTAGTCAAATTCTTGGTTCCAAAATGCTTTTAGATGTTCATTTGCAAAATTTCAACTATTTTTCAGACAAAGGAGTCTGCTGTGTCTTCCCCAAGGTCTTTTGGTGTCACATGGTGATTTTGATATGAATTTCTTGTAATTAACATCAACTTGACCTTGATCTATTAACTGCTGGCTCTTTATGAACTGAAGAAACGGCTAAATGAATACACTTTGCTGTCATTTTGGAGCCTTCTCCTGCTTTGTCGGCATGAATTATTTTAACTTTCAGTGCTAGGCAGCTGGAGCTCGTAGCTAATGATTGCTGGGTCAAGGTTTCAGAGTTAGCAGAGCTGGTCGAGTTGGCAAGCAGAGTATTCATAAATCCTGCAAATTTGGATCACTTGAGGGGTTTACGGAGTTTCCTGTGGCTCAAGATACTTTTTACCTGTCTGAATTACTGCTGAACACACAAACTGCTCAGGAGCCGGTTATGTTCCAAGTTTCACTTTAAAATTGAGTACAAGTGCAGTGTTTTCACTGATTGTTTTATTTACAGCCTGTTTTAAGCGCATTATAGATTCTCTGCTTGCCAAAGATGTTTTATATGTGCACACTGTTAAGTTGCACCTTAGTAAAACCATTGAATGAAACGCTAATTGTGCATTAAATTCTCACAAGACTGTATTCGTTAATCTGCTGTCGAGTTTCTTTAACACTGCTGGAACGGCCACTTTTAGAATTATATTTATTTTTACCTGGTGCTAAATCTCTGGTCTTCAGTATCATCTTAACTGCAACAGTGTTGCATTTTACATTTTACATTTTTTATGTTCTTTATCTATTTATCATCACCTGATAAGCTCTCTGATTGTAGTAGGGATGCTCATAGGGATCATTTTGTGAATACGAGTCGTGATGTATGTAATGCCCGGTTTTATGAGAGCGTCACACAGAGCGGGAAGCAGAAAGCCTGGCGTAACAGTGAAAGGTTTTAGGTTTTGTTGAGCCAGCTACAGCAAAGAAAGCCTGGCTGTGTTGAACTTCCCTTGGAGTAATACCCCTTTGGGTATTATATAATCTGGTAGCAGCAGATTAAAAGGAATCTTTCATCTTTACCTTTATGCTGTTTGGGGGTCAGTTTGTCTTCTACTCAAATGTGAATAGAAGGAAAAGAAATTCTGACTGGTATCTTTTTATGAATTCTCCATGTTTTCTTCTTATCTTGTGCAAACGTGCACACTCACATGCACATTAAAGTGAGAGCTTTTATGCCATTTCATTGAATTATCAGACTTTTTGGTGGTTGCCTGTCCAGAAAATAAAAAAAATTATTGCTAGATTAATAGAAAAAGAAGGTAAATAATGAAGCGTTTCATACATTTTGATCATAAAATGCAGATTATGGATAAAAATATTTGTATTCAAGAAGGAAAGTGAAAAAGTGAGGATGTGTTTATGCAGCTAAAATGTATCTTTTGTGAAAAGTTATGAGTAGTTGTGTGTGTTTTAAATGTTTTTTGTACTTTATTTCTTTATAATGCTTTGGACTGAAGGGGAGATTCAGGGAACTATTCATCGGCGTCTTTTAGAGGACAGAGCAGAGGAGCTTAAGGTCGGGGCTGTGCTGCTGCTCAAACAAGTAAGGCATACCGCCCACAATCATATAACTATAGTGTTGTATCTGAGTTATACAGTGGTTACAAATCAGTTTCTTACTTCTGTGAACAGGTGGGTGTGTTTTCCCCCTCCCATCGTAACCATTACCTGAATGTAACTTCCAATAACCTGCTGAGGATCTACGCTGCTGATGGAGTCAGTCTGACCTCCACTCAGCTTCCCCCTCTGGTCCTGGTGAGCAGGACGGCTGCTGCTGAAAATAAGATTAGCACGTCTACATTCCAAGAAATACAAAAACATATTTACTTTTTTCCTTTTTAGATATATGTCCTATCAACCTGTCATCAGTCCCTTTGAAACATATTCATTCTTTTCTAGGAGCCGATGTTGCTGTCACCCACTCAGTCTCCCGGTGTCCTTCAGGAGCCAGTTTCCTGCATGCAGCTGATGTTTGATGAAGAGGATGACGAGGGAAAAGATTGGGAAAGACACACAGAGCGAGAGGGAGACCCTCGAGCCCCTGTAGACAGTGGCAGAGGCTCCCTGGAGCGTGGTGGGAGCACAGCACCACAGGAGCCAAGCTGGGATGCAGGTGGGGCACATGCAGTAACACTTGCAGACAGGGAGAAAAGAGCTTAGTACAAGCAACACTTGTAGAGAAGCAGAAGAGAGATTAATTCTTCTCACATCGTGAGCTCGCCTGCTGTCGCTCTGAAATATAAGGAGTTATTTTCCGAATAAAACATTAATGATGTTTGGTCATTGGCATTTGACTGCAATTCTGAAACCCTATCAGTCATAGCCTGATTTGTTTTTAAACTGTTTTTTTGTCTGATGAGCAAATATTTATCTCATATCTAAAAATGATATGATGCAAAAAGGCAAGCCATGTTTAGGATTCTTAGTCCCAGAATTTTACTCAATTTGCCTAAATGACAAACACAGTGACTGTCTTTGGAGGACAAATCCTAAGAAATCCACAGCTGAGAATTTCCATGCAGAAACGTGAAATGTTAGCATCTTAGGCTGATCAACATCTAGCTATGGTCTAAAATTCTGGAGCGCAGTCTAAAAACCAATAATAGGGGGTGCTGTTTGAGCTCCAGCTCCTCCCGCCCACGTGTTGAAATGTCTTTCGGGAACAAACTGAATTGCTTCCAGTGGTCACAGCAGCTCACTGCCTCGATGCATGTGAGCAGGAAAACTGGATTAAAATGCTATATTCAAACTGTTTATTCTACAAATCCGTTATGATGCCGTCATGGCCTTTGATCTGGCATCACCATCAAATCACTCTTTGCATTTTGCATTTGCAGCAGCACCTAATAAAAAATGCATTGCTTTGTTTTTCATCCAACTGAGTATTAGAGCATTACAAGATGAAACCAGTACCATGTGTGTTTTTTACTTAATAACTAACCCCTGATGATTGTAGTTGAAAAATTGCAATCATTGCTGTTTTGTTTTTGTTTAATCAAATGTCTGAGGCATTAAAATACTGTCTCATGTGCTGACCTGTGTGTTTGTTGCACAGATGATGACCTGGATGAACTGCTGGGAGAATTGCCCGAGGATGCCTGCAGCCTATGATGGAAACTTCACATGAAACTTTACAGACTGTCTCCCAGGACTTGCATTATGACTGACTCACCTTGCACTTCTACCCTCATTTTCCTTTTGAGTCACCTTCTAAACACCGAAATACTGGTGAAACGATGTACATGTTGTTTACTCAAAACTGTTTCAGATCTGTTTATAAATACAAACAGAGAATAGTCTTGAATTAATTTGTTGTAAGTGTGCCGATGCTTTGTATCACCAATAATTGATAAGTTGCTCGTTAGTTCCAAAAATCTGCCTCTTTTGATTTCATCTACACATCCTGTGTTCTTGTAGCGACTTTGAGCCTCTTCTATGTGCGTATTAGAGATGTTTCCCTTTTTGTTTCATTCTTATTCATTGTACCTGCTCCACTGACCTTGAAATGGAAGACTAATCTACACAGCATTGATTTACTAATTATGCAAAATGAAACCAAGGTGAGGCTGCGGCTGTTTTCCAGTTAGTTAGTTTTCAGCTTCAAAGTGGACTGGATGATTTTTACGCTGCTTGTTTACGGTGCATTAAGAGGTGTATCAGAGGTTTTTGGCTTGGGATTGCGAGAGGTAGTCTGAGTCCCATGTGGTTTCCTGACCTAAGCAGTGTTTACCCAACTGTGCAGTGCATCAGGGTGGAGTCGTACTGTGACTAACAGGCTAATATGGTGGCTTTCCCGACATCTCCTCCTCAGATCCAGACTTCTTCAGCACTCCTGCCTGAGTATAACAGATTCAGGTTAATCCTCATCCTCGTTCTCATTTTGAGTATGATGCAGCTGCTCAAATTGCCTGGTTTAAGTTGAAAAGCGAGAGGGAGAGGGAACAGGGATGATGAAATGGGTTGTATTTGCAGTTTTTCAACTTAGCCGTGTGGCTTAAATAAGTACATTTACAGTGCAGTCTAAGTATTTGGACAGTTACACATGATCTGTTTGCACTCTCTTTCTGCACGTTGGATTTGTAATGGGCCAGTGAATGAGAGGAGAGAGTAATGATTTTCAGTGTAAATGTAAGGCTGATTACATTGTAGCCTGTCACTGCCCTTATGGATTAACTGATGTTTCTATCCAGACGTGATGTCCTCCTTCGATTCATTTATACTGACTTTATAAGGCAGGTTTGAGAGTGTGATCAGCGGCTCATCCAGAATAAACAGTGTCCTTTCTAGAAAGTAATCATACTGTTCAGCTTTTTGCTTTTAAATTGTTACATTGCCATTGCTGAGTATTGATCTAAAACCCTTAAACTCAGTTTGAAAACTCAGTCACCACTAAAAATATAAAACCCATTGATTCATTTAAATGTAAATAAGCATATTTGAGTAATTCAAATTTCATTTAGGGTCTTTAAGATAAGCAGCACAAAGCGCTTCATGACAAAAATGCCAGAAAGTTCTGCAAAAGCACGTTTAAAAAGATGAGGTTTTAGCTGATATCTAAGAGATCAGTCCACAGAGCTCGGGGCTCTGTGGGGGAGAGAATTGCAGAGTCTGGGCCACTGTTGCAAAACTCTTTGCTTTAGTTCTCAGGCTTATATGATGCATAGCCAGCAGCCCCTGATTACATGGCCTCTGGGATGATCTGGAGATGTATGCATGTAAGAGTTCACTCGTGTATGCTGGTGCTTCTCCATGCAGAGCTCTGAAAGTCAAAATCAGAATCTTAAAGTGAAATCTGAAGTTAATGGGGAGCCAGTGCAACTGAATTAGTAACAGTGTGACATGTGAGTACTAAGACTTCACCTTCGCAGTGATATTCTCCACAACCTGCATACTATTACTGTAAGGCAGTTTATACACTGTACTGTGTGTTTATGCTACCCATTCAAAGAACTATAGCTGCCAGGCTACTTTTTGAGAACCAGTCCACTGCACGTGGGTTTAATAGGACCGAATGTGTGGGTTGCAAATTTGTGAATCTGGTACACTAGCCTTTTCTACAGCCACCATCAGTGCTTTCAACTTAGGTCCCAGCAATGATATGGCACTTTCCCAGGGTCAGTTTTTTGGTACTACCAATGTTTTGTAGTGGAAATGCACAAATCTGCTTTTAAATTACGCACTGGTAGAGGGATGTGAGGGCCTTGTGTATTTCGAGTGGTTTCTTGTAGAGCTAACTGAGTGGGCTTAACGAAGAGAAATGTAACTGTTTTTGTCATTTAAATCTACAAGAAATTAAACTGGTAAACTCGAAGTACAATTATTAATTTACATTAAGGAAACATTCAGTTTTTTCAGACAACAATAGATGCATATAGTCTATAGAGCAGGACTGGCTGTGTGGCTTCCACATTAGTTTTGAGCAGGGCAAAACTCAGCATAAGATCAGTGGAATAAGTAACATAACAGATTGGACTAAAGCAAGGCACATCAGGTTGTTCTCAGCTAGTGAACTCTAGCGATGGCGACAGCACAGAGAGTAGGTGCAAAAAGGAAAATGGCACCATAGTGAAATGCAAGGTCTACTACTACAGCAGATGAATCACGAGCTATCCATGCGAGTCCGTGAGAAAACAGGCGTATGGACACATAATGTGGAGGTGTAAAAGACTGAATAAGTCTGTCCTTTAACTCTATATGCTAAGACCACAGGAGTACAGTCTGGTTAAAAAAAAAAAAAAGCAAACAAATGCTGGCATTGAAATAGTTGACCTGCCATTATAATCTAGCCTCAAGCTTGCTGAAAAGGGATTTTAGATCAGCCTTACTTTATCCTTTAAGGTTTATTATCTTTTCTCGTTTTGGTCCAGCTTCTATAGACGTTGATCACACAAATGGATTTTGAAAAGTCACATGTACTCTAAGAATCACAGGTGGGTTTAGTCCATCTGACATGATCTGTGATCCTCTGAAAGTGTACCCGGCAAATCTCTGGTATAATAAAACAACATGTAACGTATTCAGCCTGTTTCCCAGACACTGATTACCCCTGTAGACTAGAGACTTCTTCAAGAAGGTTTTTTTCCTCCTTACCATAAATCTGAGGGACACGATACCTATGGCAAAAGACTGAAGGGACTAGAAGTCCTTCTTTTGTATTATTTTAAAACCTTAATTCTTTGTAGCAGAAGTAGCTTTTTCTTCTTCTTGTAGAGACCGATCTGGTTAAACGTAATGGATGCCTGTCTATGAATAGGTCCTTGCTGTGGTTAACTTAAAAAAAAGTTTCCTTTTTTTCCCCTGTAAAATTATAGCTTCTCCGAAAGCACTTAAAATGACCCAATCCAGGGATGTAAATGCTCTTCTTACATATTCAGGGATAAGTCGTCACAAGTGAAAAGCAATCCAAGAAAAAAATAAATAAATAAATACATTTTGAGGTCCACTGCAGTAGCTCCATATATATTGCATATGATATAAAGTATCTGCACAGATAGCAGCAAGGATTGCATTGCACTGCCTCCTTGGCAGGTCCTAGTGGACGTCATTAACCCAGTTCATGTGCTTATGAGAACAAACAAGCATCCAACACCCAGTTAAGAGCCTTGATGATAAAACTCCTGTTTGGAGGGGAACTTTGAAACTGTCGGTCTTTCTGTGTATGTGCAGGAGGAGCTGCACTTTTCCTAATCTGCACATCTACCAATTAAGATCTTCACAAACGGGGAACAGGGAGGGGGTTTATGGTTTGAGCCAGACTGCCGCTATTGCTCAGATACTGGAATAATTTGCCCTTCTACTTCAATCACCTCTCGCCAGAGGTAATAATCAGCTGTGCCCAGTCTCGCCAAGTCTGGTACTTACTGTACACATCCTAATTATCTCCTGGTAAGAGCTTATTATTTTTCATAATCCATTAAGATAGTCAAAGTGTAATTACTCTTTCAGTCTCATCATTTATAGAGTACACGAACTGCCTAGTGACGCAAAAAATTAAAAAAGATTTTTCTTTCTTTTCTGTCTGTGATTTGCTCTGATTTGGTATCCCAGCAGAAAAGAACATTTTCTCATGTCTGATGTAAAGTAGTGTTAACTCTGTGAGAAAATCTGGAAAAATCCCACTGTCTTTTTTTGAAATATAATTTTCCATCTTTCATGCCGCACGATATTTGAAATGTTGGGAAAATAGCCCATGAGTATCCTGTTCACTACTGTTATAGAGGTCCTCAAAGAAAGGCCATTAGATTGAAGACAAATAATAATAATAATAACAAAAGTTCAATCCAGTCAAACAGATACATGGAGCATAGGGAACCACTGATTTGATAATAAGAATCATATGTGTTTTATGGCGATAGACATTATGAAAATAGCAAAAAATCTTATGCATGTGTAGTGTAGTTGATAAATCAATGACAAGATAGCAGCTGCACCAAGACTAATTTTTGCCCTTTCCATTTATTTATCACTCATATGCAGGTGCATCTTTTCCCTGGCACTTCTAAATGTGTGACTGATCACCGGCTGTCGGTGTTAATCCAAGTCAAGTAGCATATTATGCCTTTTCCCAATGACAGAAAAAATAATAATAAACAGACTCATTTCAGAATGTTGCACTAAGCTTTTTAGCATTAATGCCACGCAAATTAAAAAAAGAAGAGAAATTTATGGCAATGCTAACAATCCTCCTGCCTTCACTAATCCTGTGCATGGAAAGTTGGCTGGATGGATAAAGGAAGATAAGATTGCTAACACATAAAGCCTTATTTTCAACCCTGGAGACTGTTTAATCCCTGTAAAACCATGCTCATTACCTCAGTGAAAAAAGGGGAGATTTGCTTAATTAAGTTGTTAAGAAACCAGCAAACCCTGCAGCTGTCTGAGACCACATTTCGGAGAAAGACTGTGATCAACTGACAGTGTGTGTGGGTGTAGGCTTTGAGTGCGCTTCGGAGTGTGTGCTTGTCAGAAAGATAACACTAAAATAACCTAATCTTTCAACTTCTGTGGGATTAGGATTTGTGTGTTGTTGCTAATTGCTGAAATAAGTGTGAAAGGGCAAAGTGATGGCATAGGTACAGGACAATATCAAACATGTTTTCTTAAATGGCAAATAAAAAGTAGAAAGAGTAAAAAACAACAACATTGTGTTGTGACTTTCTTTGTAGATCAAATAACTGCTGGAGATACAAACCCACTTTGTGCCTTAGGCACAACTTAAATTTTTATATTAGATAGTACTGGAGTCTGTTTTTTTTCCCTTGGTTATACAATAAGCTACTGACATATCCCTGTGAAGTAGAAGCTAAAC